ACAAAAAAAGTGGGTTTTGGGTTCTTAAGGTACACCCTAAACCACTTCGATCCCAGACCCAGGACCTTCCAACCCATTCTGAACCCAAAAACCCTAAACCCTAAACCCTAAACCCTAAACCCTAAAAGACAGGTCGCCTCGGTTTCGGCCAGCAGCTCCCTCAGGGATGCCCTGCGAGACACCCTCCGCGAGCTGGCTGGCGGCAGTGAGCAGCGCCAGGAGGACCCCGGGGACCCTAAACGCGAAGCCTTCAACCCTCAAGCTCCGGACCGGAAGCCTCAAACCCTAAAGCCCTAAATCCTTAATCTGAACTCTGAACTCTAAAGCCCCAAACCCTCAACCTGTAAGCAATCAAGCCCAGAACCTTGAGGTTTAGGGCTTCCAAAGATTAGTCATTGCTTCTGCTTGTCCTGTGCAACGGGCTTTGTCGTTCAATCTATCGCCGTCGGTGTTGGCGATTCATGTCTTTTGGTGTTTGTATAGCAAGAGTACCCGGCATACTCCTCACACTGGCAATTGCGCCATAAAGGCTTGAATACGCACCGGTACCATTCCTCACATTCCTAAGTACTATACTTACAAATTATCATCCGTAGAATGATTATTTAGGCCGTAATCATGATGGCCATTCATGGTGGTAGTGCTTCTTCAAGTCCGACGATAACCCTAAACCCTAAACCCTAACCCCTAAACCCTAAACAATAAAACCCTAAACCCTAAACCCTAAACCGTCAACCCTAAACCCTAAACCCTGAACCGATCGCCTGGCCAGTCTGGTCAGAGCCCCAGGCATGATTGACACCATTGGCACCTCTGGTGATGACCGCGATGCTGTGGTACGGTTGATGATATATCCTGCGCTATAGGGTTTAGGGTTTAGGGTTTAGGGTTTACGGCTTAGGGTTTAGGGTTTAGGGTTTAGGGTATCCTGCATCACCCATAATAAGGAATATACCATAATTCCCAGAGTTAAGGGTCCTTAAGGTAATGCAGGGTTTATATCATCAACGGTAGTCTAGGGGCTTGAGTACTTACGATACTATTTTGGGCTTCCTTATTATACTTGTCATATGATCCAATATGATATACTGTAATCTATTCAAGCCTCATCTAGATCTAATCTAAACTAATATGATAGAACCCAATATGATCTAGTCTAATCTAAGAATCTACTGGAATCTAACACAAGACCATATAATCGAATCAAACATATTCTAATATGATACGGTTTAATGCAGTACAATATAATAGCATATGATCTAATATAACATTATATAACACAATCTAATATAACATACTCTAATCTAATTTACTCTAAGTAAAATATATGATATAGATATATTATAATGTACTGTACTAGGGGCCCAAGTCATTACCAATGCTATTTTTGGGGTTCTTCATTTAAAAGTATAATATAAATGGAAGCCTAAGCAATAATTATCAATACTATTGTTATAATACTAGTACAATATACCCCGACACCCAATTCAAACTCATTAGCTTCAGACCTGTCTGCATGGTACTGACACTGGCATTGCTTTGCCAGCCCTTAGATGATCGCTGAAGTCTGACATGGTGGTGGTCATGATAGTCGTGATGAAGGTAAGGATGGCAGGTATGGCGTTTGCTAGTTGATATAGGGGCCTTAATAATGAGAATAGGGGTTTTCGGGCCCATTATACTAAAATTACAACAAGGAACCCCAAAATAGTATAGGTAGTTATCTAGGCTCCTATAGTAGCTGCTGCTACTGCCACCGCTGCTGCTGCTGCTGCTGCTGCTGCTGCTGCTGCTGCTGCTGCTGCTGCTGCTGCTCCTGACAGTCATGCGTGACAGCCACTGCTTGCGTGATTACTCCATAAACTCCTTCAACTACACAAACGAAAACCAGGGGTTTAGGGTTTAGGGTTGAGGGAAAATCCTAGCTTCCAAGACTCTGATGAATCACTAAACGTCAGGAAACCCTCCAAGTGCCAGTGGCTGCCAGAGTCCTCAAGACCCTGCAAGCCTACGACTAGCAGAGCTGGAAGGCCTTGGCCACAAAGGGATTCGCCTTGCGCTGCACCTGCTGCAAGCGTTCAGCATCGTACAGAGCTTACATGTCGAATTCTTTCGAAGCCCCCTAAACCCTAAACCCTAAAACACTAGACCCTAGACCCTAAACCATAAACCCTAAACCCTAGACCCTAAACTTTGAACCATGGACCCTGAACCATGGCAAATGCTGTAGTGCCCTCAATTTCAAGCGTTGTGTCTTTGAGGCCGGCAAATGCTGTAGTGCCCTCAATTTCAAGCGTTGTGTCTTTGAGGCCGAAGTGGTTTAGGGATCAGGGGTTGAGGGTTTAGGGCTTAGGGTTTAAGGTTTAGGGCGTAGGGTTTAGGGCTTAGGGGTTTAATATGGAGGCCTTGACGATTAGAATGGGGTTCGCTTTAAAGGTTCGATAAGGGCTCCTATAAGGGTGAAAATCATGGACGGCGCTCTGCAGCCGACCAAGCCTGGAGAGATTGACAGGGGGTTTAATCGGGTATAATTGTTCTATACGCATTTGTAGAGTTCTAGTTCTATATGGTTTGGTAGGCTCTGTTTTTCAATAAGTGACCGGGTTAAAAAATTTGCTACGGTTGTTGTAGGTTTTGTAAGAGGTTTTGTGTTTCATACAGGTTTGATACAGCGTTCTTCTGCAATGTTGTAGAAGATTTATTGCATTTATCGGGCTGTTTGGCGGTACGTGTTAGACTAGAAGACTGGCATGATAGAAGGACCAAGTTCAGAAAGAACGCACGTGATGCGCATGGGGGAACTAAAGAAAAGCACAGTAACGAAGAGACTCCGGTGCACACGCCATTGCCGTGCAAGACAAACTGATGAGCTAGTCTGGCAGTGTCTTTAAATGTGCTTGTTGTAACTTCACATTTTTTCCTCCAGGCGCCACAGAAAAGTTGGCGTCAGGCGGCGAACAGTCTGCAAAAGCAGCTCAAGCAAGCCCCGAGCTGCAGCCATAGACAATCATCGAGAGCCAGCGGAATCAAACACTTCCATCAGCCCTGGCTTCATAACTCACCACAAGTTGCCAAGCAGTCTTGAAGCCAGATTCACTTGTTCTTCGCACTATGACCCCGAAACACAAGTTGCGCGCATGCCCCCTGAAGTGTTGGTTGAGATCGTTGGTGACCTGTCGACATCCGCTGGGCATTGTGCACACCATAAGAAGAAGGAAAGGCAATATAAGAAAAATCGATACAAGGGCCGTTATGCCGGACACAGGCGGGTCAGGGTCGAAGAGGTTTTGGTCGCCCTTTCCTGACAGAAGCAGGCCGATGATCGAGACCACGAAGGCAGCAAGACAGAGAGCCATCGCGATGCCGCAGCATCTCTGAAGTCGAAAGCACCGGTCAACGATGTCTCCGAGTGCATCTATATCGCTTTGAGATAGGCCGGAAACTCTCCTCAAACCCTCCAATTGCTCTTTTGCCAGTGGTGAGATTGCTGAAAGTCTGAAAAAATCCAGGCCAACCTTCAACCTGCGATCCGGAGCCACAGGAGCAGCTTGAGCCGGACCCAGAGCCAAATTCTGCAGCTCCAGGTTCCGCACCACTCCCTCCACCTGCGCCTCAGACACGCCAGCCTGCAGCAAGGCCTCTCTCATGTGGACTTCTTCTCCGGCCATTGCACAGATGTCGAGCTTGGCAGCTGTGGGCTTCAGCTTGAGCCATCTCGGCTGATACCAGAACTTGGGAGATCATCCAGTGAATGCATTGGGGTTACAACTCCAACCTCAATAAAGTCCCATTGAAACGTGGGCACAGCCATCCACCAAACCCTGCCTCTCGCTCGACGGGTCTCATGGCAGGGTCCAAGACTCACTACGTCGACCCTAAACCCTAAACCCTAAACCCTAAACCCTAAACCCTAAACCCTAAACCCTAAAGTTTGCACGCAGAACCCAAAAGATGGCTTCTCTAAGGGCTCCAACGGGGCCAAAACTATCAAGAAATGTAGAAAAGCTACCGCAAGAATTGAAACAAATCTTATACTATAGCGATATGTGGGACGATAAGGGAACTGTTAATTCCTAACTGCTCCAATGCATAATCCAACCGCTATATTAGGAGAACGTCGCGGGATCAGGCTTTGCGCTTAGTGCTGCGTTTGGGCATCGGGTTTCTTGGGGGCTTTTGGGTTGGTGGCTGGAGACCTTCCAGATTCATTTGCGGGGCCTTCACAACTAGAAAAGATTTTTGGATATACCTTAACCTACCAAAACCTACTTTTTTGTAGGGTCCCTAAAAAAATCTATATTAGGGTTTATAATAAGAACCTACAAAAAAGTGGGGTTTGGTAGGCTAAGGTAGCATAGTACAGCATAGAGTAAGTACAGTATAAGTACCAGAAACATTCTGACGAAGAAGCTGTTGAGATTCTGAGAAGGCATCAGGATTTGAGGGCGTAGGGCTTAGGTTAGGGTTTAGGGTTTAGGGTTTAGGGTTTAGGGTTTAGGGCCTTAGGGGCTGGCGGTTGGGATGTGGCGCAGTGCAAGGCAGCTCTGCTGGACATCTCCATCCAAACCCTCATCTCCAACACTTTCAAGAACATTAAAGAACCTCAAGAACACAATCCCAAAGCTTCCAAATCCCAGCTCTGGAACAGCGCAGCCAAAACCCACAGCCCTCTTGCCTGGTCTGCCTTGAGCGGCTGCAGCTTGTCACTGCGGGCATTGTAGATCCTAGCAAGCATCAGTGTGAACAGGAGCTTACTATAGGGGCCTTAATGATTAGAATAGGGTTTTGGGGCACGTTATGCTATGAAATCATAAGGAGCCACCAAAATAATGTTGATAATTATTTTAGGCCCCTACATTACCTGCAAGCTCAGGATACTCCCAAACACATTGTGGCTTCTCTGCCCGAAGCGCTAAACCCTAAACCCTAAACCCTGAAAACCCTGAACCCTAAACCCTAAACCCCTAAATCCTAATCCGAAACCCAAACCCCTAACCTCTAAACCCAAAGTCCTAAAACCCCTAAGACCCGCGCCTAAAACCTAAACCCTAAACCCCTAACCCCAAACCCCTAAACCTCTAAACCCTGCACCCGGAAGCTCCAAGTGGAGCTTGCAGGGCTTGGGGGTAGGGAACCCTACCCCAGGGTTTCGCGCACATGATTGGGTTTAGGGTTAAGGGTTTACGGTTTAGGGCTTAGGGTTTAGGGGTATGGGTTTGCGGTTCAGGGTTTAGGGTTTAGGGTTTGGGGCTCAGGGTTTAGAGTTTACGTTTTCGGGCTTAGGGTTGCGGGTTTAGGGGGGCTTCACCTAAGCCTACAGAATCCGCCTCGCAAGCTGTCTATGTGACCGAGGGCGGGTCCGATGTCAAGGGTTTAGGGTTTAGAGTTTAGGGTTTAGGGTTTAGGGTTTAGGATGTAAATAATATTAAAGCTTCGCCCATTTGAGTACGGTACGGGCAAGCGCCGGATGTCAGCCGCATGTTTCAAGCAGGGCGTAGAATTGACTTCTCGCGAATCCCCAACCCCTCAAACCCAAACCATAAAGCCATAAACTCTAGACCCTAAATTACTAAACCCTAAACCCAAACCATAAACTCTAGGCCGTACCCCAAAGCACGTTCTTCCAAGCCGCTGGAGCAGAAGGCGAAGCTGTGGCAGGAAGGACAGCGCATTCAAGATCCTGAGGATCTCAGAGCTTCCTAGAAGCATTACCAGTATGAGATTTACTATAAGCATGGCTACACCCTAAACTCTAAACTCTAAACCCTAAACCCTCAAACCCTGAAGCCCTCAGACCACGGATCTAAAGCCGATAGCACAGCCCGTGTGGGGTTTGGGCTTGAGGGTCTAGGGATGTACATTTGGCGGTTTTGAATGGCTTTAGAAGTGTTTCAACGGGATTTAGAAGGGCTTCAAACATGCTCTCTATAAGGGCCCTAAACCCTAAACCCCTAAACTCAAAGAGCTTCGGGCGTATTGCTCTCCCGTTGAGAGTTTAGGACAGCAGGGTCACCGAGCCGAAGTTTGTAGTTAGATGCCTGAACAGTAAAATATCAGCGTGCTTCGGTGCTTCGGTTTAGGGTTTAGGGTTTAGGGTTTAGGGTTTAGGGTTTAGGGTTTAGGGTTTAGGGTTGAGGGTTTCGGGTTTGGGGTGGCTTTGCGTTTAGAGGGTGGGCATGTGCCCTAAACCCTAACCTATAACGCCCTGTTGGGAAAGACCACGACGCTTCAAATCAGCTGGGACCCCTGAAACCTAGGATCCCCGCTATGAAGAGTCAGTGGACCCTGTATGCTATAACGCTATGGCCGCTATGGCTGAGGAGCATCTCCAACTGCGGCCAAGCCACCCAACCGCCACGAAGCCAGCAGCCTGGAAGCATCCACAGGCGCTTCACGACTCCTACACCTTGAACCCGGAACCTCGCATTTCATTTCATTGCTCCTAAACCCTGAAACCAGGAACCGTCGCGTCCTCTATCTGTTTAACGCTGAAGCCCAACCAGAGACCTCAACCCTTCATGCGGAATACACCGTAAATCAAATTAAGGATCAGAGTCCGTGGGCAAATAATGGCGGGTCTCGGGCACTCGGGGCAAAGCTTTGAGCTCCTAGGCGAAACGTCGACAGGCGGTTCAGGGTTTGGTGGTTTAGGGTTTAAGGTTTAGGAGTTTGAAGTTTTTGGGGTGTTCCAGGGTTTAGGATTTTCAGGCTCAGGGTTTAAAATGTGCAATGCCAAATCTGACCGGACCTCGGCATCGTCAACGCCCAGGTCGATGGCCAAGCGGGGTGTGATCAGAAGCCTAAGGAGTCAGAGCCTAGTGCGTGGAGCTTAGGGTTTAGGCTTGGGGTTGAGAATTTGTGGGTTCGAGCTTAGGGTTTAGCAGTTCGTATATGGGTCTAGGCTTGGGGTTTGGGGCTTTGCGGGCAGTAGCAAACACGGTTGCAGATGCCTGAACTAAGGTTGTAGCTTTTTGCTGCCGTACGTGAAGAGATTGTTTCGAGGTGCCACGCCGGCAGCAATACCAAAAAGCTCAAGCCTACAACCAAGACCAAACAGCGCGAAGCCTGAACCCAACAGCCTGCAGAATATGCAGCGTCGTGCTTCCCTCGGCATTTGATGTTCGGCCCCTTAGCCCCAAAAGATCGCTGTGGTGATCGCTGAATTTGTCGCGATAAAAAAAAAACCCTCAGTCATCCTACCCTACACCCTAAACTCGCGGCACAGGCCGCCCACCTGCTGTGGGTGGGCGGCGCTTAAGCCCCTCGCAACCGATCGCGAAAGGCCGACCAACACCCCAGCCCACCTCTCCGCAACCACAGCCACGCCGTACCCGGTACCGGAGTTCTCCCCCGGGACCAGTACTGGTCCCTTACAAAAACATTACCCCAAACCCCAAGCCCTGAACTGCCCCCCTGCCCTGCCCTGCCCTGCTCAGCGCCACGTCATGCGTTTAGCCCTAAACCCTAAAAGGAATAGGTTGAGGTGGCTTGGCCGCATTGTACGGCGTGGGGTGGGAAAGAATAGACAGGCTTTCGCAGCTCATCGCCATGGTACAATGCACTCGACACAGCCTTGTCGCAAGATACTATCGCCTACGCGCTGTTCCACGGAAAAACCTAGAACCCTAAACCCTAAACCCTAAACCCTAAACACTACGACTTCGCGGCTTGAAGCCGAAGCGCCCCGCCAGTAGAGGGCCCACAGTTTCAGTGATCAGGTCAATCTGCGACATCACGGAGTTTGTACCTCTGACACAGCGGGTTAGGGTTTAGGGTTTAGGGTTTAGGGGTTAGGGGTTAGGGGTTAGGGTGTAGGGTTTGGGGTTTAGGGCCATCAAGGCTATGACGTCGAAATGATGACGGTGGTGATCCTCACAACGGTCATGATGCTGACGAGGACGATTGAGATCACGAGGTCGGTGAAGACGGTGGGACTGACGATGCTGAAGATGATGAAGATGATGAAGCTGATCATGATGATGGTGGAGATGATGAAGAGGATGGTGAAGACGAAGATGGCGATGAAGATGAAGATGAAGATGATGGTGATGGTGATGGTGATGGTGGTGACGATGATGATGATGATGATGACTATGCTTCTGGGCCCTGCATGGTTGCAGCAACTGCTACCGCTACTCAAACTACCTGCGCTGCAATATGCTAGTCCTCATGGAAACTCAGAGACTGTCAAGAAGCTGGCTCTCCGCAGCATAGGCATTCAGCTTCATCAGCGTGGCACGGAAAGAGTCCTGCACTGCATCGTGGGGTTCAGACTCAGCGTCCGGCATCCCTGCATGGACTTCGGCATTGATGGACCTCAACCCTCAAAAATCAGCGGGGCCTGCCACGCCGGATCTGTGCAATGGCTTGGATACAGATGGGCAGCGGTGTTGCCGAAGAATTCGAATCCCATGTCGATTTTGGACCTAGGGATACAGTTCTGTAGGATGTTGGGGCGTTGCCAATTGCACCGATAATGCTTCACGAAAGGTTCCGTGGGTGCTGTTGGAAGTGTGCCCAGTTCCGTTGTACTCCATCTGCGTCTGGCAACCCGACGACTGGATCTGCCTCACGCCCTACAGCTACTATAGGGGCCTGAACAATTACAATTGGGCTTGGGGCATGTTGCAGTATGGTCACCTACATTGGTACGTTTAAGGGGGCACTACTACTTGCCAGTACTACTACTACTACTACTACTACTACTACTACTGCTACTGCTACTACTACTACTACTACTACTACTACTACTACTACTACTACTACTACTACTATTCAGTTATGCAGACCCGGATCTTACCACAGTGATCCACAGTGACTCGCTGTGAAGGCCACCGATACCGAAGACCCTCGAACCCCTGCAGGGTCTTAATAACTAGAAGAAGGTTTTGGGGGTATCTTATTATAATATACTAGACCCCCAACCCGTATTCTAATTATTAAGGCCCCTATACTAACCCTTGTAGTAGCCGTTACAGTAACCCCCATAGTAAACTTCACAGAACCCTCTCAGGAGCCCTTCAAAGGAACCCCGCTAGCCCTTGTAGCAACCGATCCCTTTTCGGAATCCTTTCAAGGGACCCCAAAGCTCCACTCTAAACCCTATAAGCCCAAAACCCACAACCATTAGCCCTAAGCCCGAAGCTGAAAACCCTCAGCCCAAGGCCCTAAGCCCTGAACCCCGAAGCCCCAAGCCCTAAACCCAAAGCCCCTAAGCCCTAAACCCAAAGCCCTAAACCCAAAGCCCCTAAGCCCTAAACCCCATGCCCTAGAACCCTAAGCCCTGCTAAAGACTCCCCAGAAGCAGCCTTAAGAGACATGAACCCTTATATACCCCTTCTATAGTCTCACCAAGCCCCTATATAACCCCAAGGGTCCCTTAAAGGGTCCCTCCTTTACTCCCCAGAAGGCAGTCTCAGCCCTGGGCTTCAGCATATTCGGGGGCTGCCCTGAGCAGCCGGTCTGCATGCCAAAGCCCTGCAAGTTGGGGGTCTGTGTGGGAGATTTAGGGTTTAGGGTTTAGGGTTTATGGTTTGGGGTTTAGGGTTTAGGGTCTAGGGTTGTTTTTGTGGATTTCGGATTTGGTGCTTTTTGGCACTTTTGGAACCGGGGCTTTTTCGGGTTTAGTTTTGGGTGACAAAAAAAGCTTGGGGTTGGGGGTTGGGGATTTAGGAGCTTCGAACGAAAGCAAACTGCTTCTCACGGCTAAGCTATCCGCTGTCCCACCCAAGGCCCGCCTCAACTACTCTGGGGCCATTCATACATGGAGTAGGGTCATAGTAACTGTAAACTTCTAGACTACTCACGACAGCTTACGAGATCCCATCCCGAATTCAAGACACTGCTAAGAAGCCCTCAGCCACCCCTGACTGAGGGAGCCCTCCGGCCTCCATCGGAACGCTAGTCATGTCCTCGAAGTGCTTGGAGACCTTGGCTGCCGGCCCCTTCTTCGGGATTTTTAAGGTTTGACAAAAAGACGGCTGTGGGGGAGAGGAGGAGGCTTGGGCACTTTCCATGTGCAAAGGTCCTAGCGAGCTGTCCCATAGCACCTGGAAAAGCTGAACGTATGACGGAGACATGGTCGTCGTGAGCTCCTGACACACCTTTTGGTAGAAGCTACTAAGCTACTAGCACTAGCATTAGTACTGGACGTAGTAGTTAATCGTAGTTCGTTGCAGTGGTAGTGGTGGTTTGTTGGTTGTGGCCAGCAGTTGTAGCAGCAGTCGAACAAGCAGCATCAGCGAGAAGACGAGGACGACGGGGCGCAACATGCTCAGATCCCGTCCTGGGCCCTGTTGTATTCCGTATCACAACACTGGGGGATTGCGTAGACGGTACACAAAACACCAAGGAAGATCACATAAGAGGGTGCTAGCTGCCAGCATCAAGCTGGGACAAAGCAACACTGGTGCAAAGAGATCCCTCTCGCCCTACCTCACACCTCTAAGCCATGCACCACAGCACCTCAATTGCAGCTCCCTCTCCTCCTCCCTAATCATCACCACTGCAACCTCTGAACTGCCAGCGCGAAGTAGAAACCCCGAAACCCAAACCCGAAACCTTAAACCCGAAAAACTAAGCCTTAAACCCTGTACCTCACACCCTCGAAGGCCTTCAAATCCCTGATTTACTACCGGACTCTGGTAACCCTAAACACTGAACTCTCTCCTCCCGAAAAGAAACAATTCCGTGACGAGGGGCCAACTTCGGATCCCCGAAGCTGCCGGCCTGTGGCCCCAAGCCGAAATCGGCTTGTGGATTGAGTTTTGCATTGGGTCTAGTGGTCAGGGTTTAGGGTCTTGGGTTGAGTCTAGGGTTCAGCGTTGAGGGTGACATTGACTTTTGAATTTGATACGTCTTGCGCGATATTTCCGCTGGCTACCACATGTTCTTGATCTTCTGAGGCATTTCTGCCTGTCATTCCTTCTTGGTCTTGGTCCTTCCTCTGCCTCATGACCACCACACCACCACCTCCACCACCGCCACAAGGGATGACAGCGCTGGTGGTGGTGATGCTGGTGATGGCGAACAGGTTGGCAATGACGACGGTTAGTGTCGCCATTATTACTGGCGTCCACCGACCGCTCTGTGCGCCCCGGCCCCACTGCCCAGCTGTGAAGCTTGAGGCTTGCGAGTTGCAGAAATTTGGCTTTGCTTCGCACTCGCACCACTGGCGGCGGCCGGGTTTCCGCATCGCAGCTATCATCATCCTCATCCCCTGTTTCATTCTCGTCATAAGCGTCACCACTGTCATGGTTGTCGTCATCACTATCATCCCCGTCCTCGACACCATCTCCTCCGCCTCCTCCTTCTCTTCCTCCTCCTTCTCATCATCATGATCATTCTCCGCTTGCGAGTCTTCGCCAGCATGGTGACGTTCTTCGAAATCGAAGCGTCCAGGCCCAAGAGCCCATCAGAGCCCTCAGCTGCCTTGTAGCGGCCGGCCATGAGTCCCCCCTGTCGCACCAGAGCCTGGGCAGTTGCTTCGCTCAACCAACGGACCTAGGTTCTTGAGACTTTCCTGGAGAGCTCTGCATGGGAGCTTCGGGTTAAGGGTTTAGGGCTTCCTTTTGCTTGGGCAGTGACAGAGCTGTAGGTTCTTGCGTGAGCATTCATGCCAGCAGTTTCGCTGAAGTGGAACCTGAACCTCTACGCCCTGAACCGAACCTCGATCCGAAACCCCCCCAGCCTATAATCGTGAAGTGTAGGCCCCACACCAAGTCTCAAGAAAAACCAAAGCCCCAAGCTCCGTATCCTAAAGCCGACGACTCTGGGATGGAAATCGGCGATGCGCAGACCCCCCAGCCAAGACGCAGTTCCTGAACTCTTGGGGTTGAGTCCAAAGTCTCTAGACGGTCATGACATGTCATGGACAACCGTCGCCTACAGCACCAACCGAGCTCCTAGATTCCTGCAGCCGAAGCCAGGACTGAACTGTGCACCAACTTGAAGCCAGAGGCTGAACCCCAAGCCCAATACCAAACCCCCAGAGTTGCCACGGAGCCAAGTAGTACTCGGCTGGGTCCCCTCGGAGGCACCAGTCCATGCACTTGTCGTATGGGCCCTCGATTTCATAGGGCCCAAGCCTTGCAAGGCGGAGCTGCACTGCTACGGCCAGGCTACGGCTCCGCTGCTTAAGTGTGCTGAGGTAGATTCCAACTTTCATCAACCCTCTACCTCAAAAGGCGGAGAACTTAAAGTAAGGGAGTTTATTAATCACGGGGCAACTTCTCTATTACTGTACTCTGCTTACTAGATCCTGTTTATGAGGATGATCGCGACGATGCTGCTTCTGGAGGTGGTGGCGGCGGTGGTAGTGGCGGTGATATGGTGATGGCGATGGAGGTGGTGATGCGGGTGGCGCTGGTCATGGTGGTGACGACATCATAATGGTCATGGTTACGGTGATGGTGATGGTGCATCATGATGATGATGATGATGATGATGGTCCCAATGAAATTCCATCACTATTATCACGTCGTTGCGATCCCAATTGTTACTTGTGTTGCTACCATTACGACTTCTCGACGATCTTGTTGCGGTAACTGTTGTGGTTTACACTTATTGGGGAATGTCTTCCTCTCCTCCTTCGCGGCCGTCCTCCGCCAAGCTTATTCGACACCCGCTGCGGCTACGACTGAGCCTGGAAAAAAAACAGGCCCCGAACCCAAATCCTGAATCTTCCAGTTTGGCGGAGGTGCCTCTGCTTCGGGAGATCCCGGGTCTTCCCTTCGAAATCCAGGCGCCTCGGCATGGTCCGATCGCCCCCATGCATTCTCAAGCATGTTGGGCTTGGGACCCAGGACTCTTGTTGCAGGGCTCGTCGCTTCGGGACTCTGGGTCCATGGTGGCCGGGGTTGATGACTTGGGTCCTGTGGTATCCGGGCAACAGTGCCCGCAACATGCGCACCGGTGTGCTGAAGGCACACAGCTGATCCTGACAGTGTTCACCACTTCGCCCAACCTCTGATCCACCTGAAGACTATGCCATGCCCGCCCAAGCTGAGAGCGCCAAGCTGAGAGCGGTGCGAGGGATCATGGAACTTGACGGCCTCGCGGTTGCAAGAGTGCTTCGAGGTTTAGAGTTTAGAGGATTCCAAATACTCTCAAGCTACCACAGGGTGTCAGACACGCCCGAGCAAAGAAACACTTGGAGGCAGGCCGTGCTTCGAAGCCTAATCTTTTATAGGAGCCTGGTTTCAGGGCTCAGCAGATCTTCGTGGCCGGGACACTTACACCCTAAAACCCAAATTCGAAACATCCTTCTGGTAACCAATGCAAACCTGTATAATGATACTTGTAGTAATCACAAAACCCTAAGCCACAGACTACCGGTGCAGAACGAACTGGCAAGAACTGTTCGAAGGTTCCAGGAACCAGGAACCAGTAGCAGCCTCAGTGATGAGAATCCAGTTCGACGTCTCGTTGCTGATGTCACCAAAGTAGAACCTGCGGGGCTTTTTTGCAGGCTTACCACAGCGGTTGCCGTAATGGCTCTATAGGGGTTCTCCAACACAAACCTTGTGCTTGAAAGCAGGACTTAGGCTTGAGAACATGATTGCAGCGAAGTTCTTCTGAAGGAACGCGGCTGCCAAGGGCTGAACCGAAGCTTGACGGAAATCCAGATCAGCTCGGTGCCAGTGTTAAGGCAGCTTCCAAGTCCCCAGAATGATGAACCAGGTTGGCAACCTTTGGGTAACCATTATTGTAACCCTAAACCCTAAACCCTAAACCCTAAAACTCTCACCGGAATAAAAACACAGTAACCCTAAACCCAAAACCCTAATAGTCGAGCTCAAGCTATGAGTTGGGCTTGAGTGCCTTCACCATGACTTCACGACAATTCGACCCAGAGACTCGACTACTACAGAGGCTTTCATGATTTCCTACGCTACTTTCGGAGGTTCCCTATTATAATTAGAGTAGAATATATTCCAAAACCCTATTCAAACTATTAGGGGCCCCTAAACCCTAAACCCTTATTCCTTAAAGAATCCTTTAAGGAACCCTTAAAAGGACCCCCAAAATCCTATTCTAGTTACTAAGGCCCCTATATGATTACTGCCGAGACAAGCCTGGGGATCTTCACCGGCAGCTTCGCCTGCGAAGGCGCCCAGGGTTGGTTTGGGTGCTGGGCAGAGGATTAGGGTTTAGGGTTTAGGGTTTAGGGTCTCATGCAGGTTATGCTCAGTAGCGTTTAGGGCCGTTTAGGGTTTAGGGTGTTTGGTTTTTAGGGTTTAGGGGTTATGCTCAGTACTCCTAGGTGTCCGGTCGGATCGATCTTCAAAACTCGAGTATTGACTGTAGGTCTGATGCAACACTCCGTGACAGAGCAAGGTACGCACACGCATAGCAAATGATATGACCTGATATTGAATCGGTGCAAGCCACTCGCCCTACATCCCCAACCCCAGACCCTACCCCGCGACAGTGCAACGCAGAATTTGGCAGCCACCCAGGGGTTCAAACACAAACAAAAACAAACTACCACACAATCCTCTGCCCCCGCATCACAAGAACAAGCCAGAATCAGCCACTGCGAAACCAGTGCTCCAAAACCTACCAAACCTACATCTATATGCACAAAACGATCGGAGATCTCCATGCTCTAATCCCCTAGACTCTAAAACCCTATCCCTGAAACCCCACACTCTGCAAACCCTAAACGCTAATAAGCCCTGGAACCCTAGAAGCCCACAAAGCCCTCAAAGCCCCATCAAGCCCTTCAGAACCCTTCTAGCAACCCTTCTAGTGCCAGAAACCCCCTACGGTAGCCCTAAGCCCTACACGCTTCTAGTAGCAACCCTAGTAGTAGCTCTACCTCTAATGGTAAGCCTCGCATTTAAGACCCCACACCCTGGATGCCTCGAGCAGCCGAGACGTGTTGAGCTCGTAGAGCTCCATGGGCTGTTTGTTGACCTGACTCTGTAATAAGTAGATACAGAAAACGAAAAACGTTTGCTTTTTGGGGAGAGAGAGAGAGAATATGTGTGTGTGTGTGTGTGTGTGCGTATATATGTATGTGTTTACGTAATGTATGCATGCATGCATGCATGCATGCATGCATGCATGCATGCATGCATGCATGCAGGTAGGTAGGTAGGTAGGTAGGTATGTACGTAGGTATGTACGTAGGTATGTATGTATGTATGTATGTATGTATGTATGTATGTATGTATGTATGTATGTATAGAGTTCATACAGTTCATGTAGCTTATAATGACTTTATCATTTTATAGGTCATGTGGCTTATACAGTTTATACCGCTTGTACAGACAATACAGTAAACCCAACGATATAGAGTATCTGCAAGATATATACATACACACATGCATGCATGCATACACGGGTTATACACAGGCCTGTACGCGTGTATACGTATGTATATACATATCTATATATATATATATAAATCTAAGTGCATGTATAGATATATACACCTATACATATTCATAATTATGTAACTCTTTACCTGTACACACATGCATATATATATATACATATATATATATATATATATGTATATATATATATGTATATATATATATATACACACACACATATTATCTGCTGCATATACTTATACAGGTTGCAAATTCTCGACGCACGACAGAACTGACTACCCCCAAGGCTTGAAACGTTAAAGTCCTTACCTGCCAAGGCCCCCGACGGCCGCCCACCGCTCAAGACAAACAAGCTGACGAAGTATCTTCCGCTGATCTGGGTCCCGGTCCCGGTTAGGATGGACAGAAAAAGATCATTTTCATGTGGTCTATAAGGAAGCCCGAATCACCAAAAAGCACCATGCACCCCGATCCTAAAAACTAAGTCAGACATGTTAGCATCCTTCTTTTTCGGGCTGCTAGAAAGCCCAAACCACCAAAAAGCCCTAAACCCGAAGCCCTGAACCCAAGCATAACAACCAAGTGATATGTAGCCAGCCCACGGAGCTGCTCAGGCGATCCGACATCGTCTCCTTCTCCAGGAGGTGATAGGGAGTCGGCTTTCGGGCTTGGGCTCGAAAAGTTGGAGTTTAGGGTTTAAGGTTTAAGGCTTAGAGATAGGAGATTAGAGTAGGTTCTTAAAGAGCTAGGGTGCAGGGCTTTAGGAAATTTTGAGTCTAGGGTTTAGGGATGTCTCGGAGATTTGGAAGCCCTAAACCCTATACCCTAAACCCCCAACCCTGAACCCTACACCCTATACCCTAATACCCTAAACGCGAAACCCTAAACCCTATACCCTAAACCCGAAACCCGAAACCCCAAACCCCCGAATCCTCAATCCGAGGCTTCAGGGTTTCGGGTTTAGGGTTTAGGGATGAAGGAAGCCCGAGCTCGAGCCCAAAACCCTCAGACTGAAGCCTATAGTTTAGGGTTTAGGGTTAAGGGTTTGGGGTTTAGGGTTTAGGGTTTAGGGTTAACAATAACAATAACACAAAGATAGTAGCAACAATAAGAAGAAGAAGCATATCAATAGTTAGTTGTAAATAGAATGATAGCAACAATGGTAATTCTGCCAGAGATTGATGAGAGTAAGAACCACAGTAATAATAATCACAATAATAATGAGAAGAAGAATGCTGACAACTCCTGCCTTCTCCATGCCATGCGGGATCTTGGCAAAGAGCTTGGTGTGGAGGCAGTCGTCCGGCATTTCGTACTCGACCTTTCCCGGACTCCCCCGGGCTCAGGGCTCAGGACTGCCTGAACCCTAAACCCTCAAACCCGAAGCCCTAAACCCAAAGCCCTAAACCAAAAGCCCTAAACCCTAAGCCCTAAACCCCAAGCCCTAAGCCCTAAACCCCAAGCCCAAAGCCCTAAACCCTAAACCCTAAACCCTTGGGGTTGAGCGTTTGGGGCCCTCTTGGGGGTTCGTTGAAGATCAGCAGATTGCGCTTTAGCTTTTGCCATCCCGCACCTCGAAAAGGAACTTGCCACCGTTGTTGCCGGTGGTAATCCTGTGTTCGGTTGAGCTTTTGGGGTTTGGGGTTTAGGGTTTAGGTTTAGGGTATAGGGTATAGGGTTTAGGGCTTAGGGTTTAGGGTCTAGCGCTTAGGGCCTAGGGTTTAGCCAGCATGTGTGCGACCGCGGACGCGAGGCGCAACCGCCGAGGTCTCGGAACGTGACAAGACATCTGAGGGCCCGAGACCTGCAACATCGAGACACTAAGCAGCCCAAAACCCGAAGCCTTAAACCCTAAACCCTGATCCCAGCTCAGAAGAGCGTCTTGTATCTCTTGTCCGGGATCACCTGCACGTAGCTGAGAGACTCAGGCCCGCGAGCCCGGATCACAACGCAAAGAGTCTCGTTTACTTCGACTAGGGTTTTGGGGAAGTTCATACATTGAAAGGGGATACCTGTACTACTTCGTCCGACCCCGGCGGTAGTTACCTTATTCACCAAGGCTACAGCATCTTGCATTCGAAGCTGCTTGCCTGAGGGTTCATACAGTGCTGGTGACTCACCGTGTCAAACAGTGCGAGGGAAGCAGTCTCAACAACGGAATTTAATCAAAAAACGGCCCGGAATTGCCAACTGTGCAACTCTGCCCAGCTTTCAGATCACAACGCGCAGACTCTTAAGACCGATGCAGACTCCTGCACTTGCCTCTCTTAAGCTCTGAGTCCTGGGATGACCTTGAACTCCTAAACCCTACTAGGCATAAACGCTGTAAGCTAATATGCCTGCAAAGGGGTTAGGTTGCCCCAGTGTATGTTGTAAACCCCTGAACCCTAAACCCTAAACCGGCTAAATCCCGAAACCCCGGAAGCCTAGACCACCAAAGCCGATGCTCGATCCGAACACCTGGCCTTTGTTACCCGGTTCTCTTGCGGCAGGGTGCCGGCAGCATGCATCGCCTGGCCGACCGACTGCTTCCACTCAGTGGCAGTTCAGGGCTTCGGGGTTAGGGGTTTAGGGCTTAGGGGTATCGGCTTAAGGGTTTTAGGCTTTTGCAGGTTTAGTTCTACAGGTGGTGGGGCTCAGGCTTAAGAGCCGTTGGGTTTAGGCTTAAGCTTTTTCTGGTTTAGCATTAATGGCTTTCGGGTTTAGGGGTGTTGGGGTGTGTTAGGGCTTGGGGCCTTGGCGATGGGTCCTAAAAACGCTAAGTTGCTGTGTCGAGTTTAACCCGGCACATCTACAAACACAGCGGCGACGGTGGCAGCCGTGGTGGCGAGTGCGGTGGTTGCCTTTTTATCGGAAGGAACAGGCGACAAAGATCAACAGCAGACGAGGGCCTGACGGACTGGTTTTCAGGCTTCCAAGTCTCAAGGGTGGTCAGAAGCAGCTCCGATGTCCATCCGAACTCACAGGCGAGGGCGCAAAGGCAAAGCTGAAGCTTTAGGCCGAAACATCGGATGCCCATAAGACCCTCGAGCCCAAGGGTCCTTGGTGAGCCACTCTGCGCCCCACTCCTCGCTATGGAGCATGTCTTCGGTCCTGCAAGTAACCGGAACCGCACAGACATTCGAGCCCCTCCTGAAGCGACACTGCAACAGACCATGGCCTTCCCAGCCCCGAGGCATGAAAATCCGATCTTTTCGCAAGCCCCCCCCCCCGGTCCAGGGGAAGGTGATGCCGTAAAGCATGCCCTTGCGCGTCTTGGTGTGATTCTCAGTGACCGTCTCGTTCGTGATGGTCTTCCATGCAGGGACCTCGCGGAGCGACGTCGGGGGACTGCAAGGAAATGCGCTGGCATGTAACGTCGTGCGACTCCTGAGATGAAGGGCAGAAAATCTCTCTCGTTCCAACAGAGACAGAGAGAGAGAGAGAGACATACATATAAATATATATATATATATTTACAGATGTGTCGCCATGTTTCTCAAAACACTCGATACACTTTGTTGATCTGTGCCCGCGTGATCTTGCAACCAACAATGACATGATACCATTCAGCGGGCAACATATTGCAACCTCGACTAGAATTATGCGCATCACCGGTATTACTATGGTGAACAAACGGCGCCATTCGCACACCAAGGTATACTTACAAGCACAAGACACTGTACGCAGATGCTTTCAACCTTTTCCATCGTGTCCCTTTGGAAACCCCGATTTGCCTTCTTCTTGAGCTCTCTCTTGCACCTGCGCAGACAAAGTTTCGAGTAGGGTTTTGGGGTTGGAACTGCTAGACCCCAAACGCAGCCGCCCTGCCTCGGGTTTGAGTCAGGGTTTAGGGTGTAGGAGCACTACCACCAACACTACCACCACGACGTTACGACGACAACGTCGACAACTACCCGACTACCACTGCTGCTTCTTCTGCTGCTGCTGTTACTTACCACTACCACTACCACTACCACGACGACTACGACGACTACGACGACGACGACGACGACGACGACGACGACGACGACTACTACTACTACTACTAGCACGAGTACTACTACCACCACGAATAGGACTGCGACGACGACTACTAAGGCTCCAACTGCTGCAGCTGCCGCGAACGCCATCCGCGTCACACGATCAGCACGTCGACGACTACCATCACTATACCAGCTCCGGTTAGAACCTTTGTCGGCGTTGCCGGCATTTCTAGGTTTGCTTGTCGTTCCAAATCCAAACCTAAACACTAAATGCCAAATTCTACAACCTCCCGAACTCTACCCCCATTTCTCATCACGGCTATTGAGTTTGGCCTCAAGCAACCCGCGCCTCTGCTGGATGCGCCAATCTGCCTCCGCGACTCCCTCGGGACGCTCCTCTTCCACCACGCCGACCCTCCAGGTTTGGGGGGTAGGGTTCAAGCTTTGGGTTTAGGGTTTTGGGCTTCGGGCCATCGGATTCTGTGCTTCTCTGCTTTGCTTCTGCTGCTCGGGGCTTGCATCTACCTGAAGCAGCAGAAGTGTTCTGTTGCGGTCATGTCACTGTATGCTGCGATAGTATGCACTATACTCCTTACTTGCCGTATCTACTGTTTCATTTTCACCTTCAGATTTCTATGCAGTTCCACTCACGTCTTTTGGCACTGTTCCCTGATTCTCCTGTTCTTGTATCGCGGTGAGGTTCCCTGATCACAATTCTTCTCTGCTGGCGCGTGCCCATTGCTACATGGTCATTTTTCGATGTTCTGACATGTTTGATCTTGCAGTCGAATATTGCCATGCTGACCTGTACGGAAATGCTTTGCGTTTACAAATTCATTTACTTGTCTGAATATGTGTAGTGTTGTGGGTCCCTCTTGCCTTGACGACTATGCCATGTCTGTACCTGCCAGTATGGTAGTAAGGGCAACCGGGGAGTACAATGCTGAAGCACTTACAAATAATGCTGGTAGAGTTGGGCATCACCCTTTTAGTATGCTACCATAGGTCATAGGCGTATACCAGCGCGCTTGCCGTTCTACTGACCTACTACCCCACTACTGTCTAGATACGACACATCCCTGTACAGTACAGTGCATTGTGATGCCATGACGTCTGATGTACTCTTGCATGCACAACCGTGCGCGCTCGTGTGCTGCTGTAGAGAGCGCGTTGTTACACTCTGGCTGCTGTACGTCTAGACCTTCAGATGACGATGGGGTGAAAGGTGGTACTTCTAGGCGACCACCTGGTGATGGCTCATTTGGAACTATGCTGCCATGATAAGAGCATAACTATGCTTACAATCTCTCATCTGAGTGAGGCTCGCGCTGCAGAGTAGAATACTCGACATGATCCTTGCGGCACAATGCCCAACCTGCACCTCCAAATGATGCCCCTTTTCACTTCAAAAGCCCGCTAACAACAACCGAAGCCAGGGTCAAAACCCCAAACCCCAAGGCCACCCCACAGGAGTGCGAGGGCTTCGTATGTCCGTGAACTTCGAACCAAGACTGCTTCGACGTGATCGATCCCCCCCCAAAAAAAGAAAACCTATTTTAAAAAAAAACTCTCAAACCATGCAAGTCCTACGGGTGTATAAACCATATGAAACCTTGCTAGCCCCTGCAGAATCCCACAAACCCAAAAGCTACCCGAATCCATGGGCTTCCAGTTTGAGGTTCCCGCGGGCCCCCATGGAGCTTTGCCCAGGACACGGCGGGATCCTCCGCGGCTTCAGTGGCGAGGATTTAGCGCTCAGGGTTTAGAGTTTAGGGCTCAGGCTGTAGAGCTTGGGATTTGGAGTTTGGAGTTTGGAGTTTGGGGTTTAGGGTTCAGGATTTGGGCTTTAGGTTCGGGGAGTGGGGTTTGGGGTTTGCAGTTTGGGCGTGGGAGCCCTAACCCGAAACCCAAAACCCTGAACCCAGGCTCGCAGACGGGGTCTTGGGCTCTCCCAGCTACGATGACTCTGTCGCCGGAGGCTCGCTGGTCTGATAGCTGATTCAGTTCAATTGGGGTTTAGGGTTTAGGGTTCGGGGTTTAGGGTTTAGGGTTCGGGGTTTAGGGGTTTAGGGTTGCAAAACTATGAAGACTGAAAAGATCCTTAAACCATGGATCCTAAACCCGACACCCACTAGAGATTGCGGAGCAGTTAAGGCCGCAGGTGGGCGGGGGTTTATATGCGGGCCTCAACAAATAGAATAGGGTTAGGGGCTATACAGGATCCCTGAGGAATAGAACTGTTTAGGGCCCTATATATGTGTCCTGGCTTCTTTGGGGCTCAGAGTCGAAAAGCCCCCATTTGCCCAGAAGCTCTCTGCCAAGCACTCCACCACGAGCCTCAAACGGCTCCCATGGAAGCACGCCCATGGCTCTGCAGATGCCAGCAAGCTTGAACCCTTACGGTACTAGGAAGGCAAAGGTGATGGTGAGTGCCGATGACTTCCGGGGGATCTCACATCCTAGAATCTACGTCTCTCTGCGTCAACCCCCGAGAGCTGCAGTAGACGAGGATCGGACAAGCAGCGACTCTTAGAGATGGCTGACGATTTCTTCAGCATGGGTGCACGAAGTCTGGCATGGCACTGGTACTACAACTCGAGCCGAAGACTCGTTCATGCTTTTCGGGCCCAGAGAAGCAACACCATGCAAGCCCATCAAGTGACCAGGCGGCTGACGTTCGTGCAATCTACTTCGGGGTCCTTAATGATTAGACTAAGTTTCGGGAGTAGTATTTTCGACTACTGAGGCTTCTACAATATCCTCCTGTCCATATCTCTCCACCTTTGCCAAATCTAGACCTTCGAAGGCGCGGTCATCCAAGCAGGCGGAACCTTCTCGAAAAGGGGTTCAGGGCTTAGGTTTTGGCGCTTAGGCTGCTTCTTCAAACTGGAAGCCCCGGTTTCAATTTGGTTTGCACCCTGTCAGTCACCTGGAACATATGACTCCCGTGATTTTCATGAAAAGTGCGACATCCGGCAAACACAACAAAATCAGCGTGTTAAAACCCAAATCCTGAAGCCCTAAACCCTTTAACACTCAAGCCCTAAAGCCTGCTCCTCCAAGGTCCCCGGCGAAAAACATCGCGAGGCCCATCCACTCCTCCGGTAACAGCTTGGCCAAGGCCTTCGCCTCCAAGTCGGAAGTAAAGAGCAGTGAAGGGTTTAGGGTCGGGGATTTTGGGTTTAGGGCTTAGGGTTTAGGGTTTAGGGAACCTTAGAGGCGCCCCGCCCTCTCCGCCCTCTATTTTGGGACAACCACAATGTCAAGACCTCCGCAAAACGACTCCTAGCCAAGATTTCTTCAGAGCCCTAATCCCTACGCAGGAACCGTGCCGCGCCCTTAATGGAGCCACCTTCGACCTACGTCTTGAGATACCCAGAGTCTGCCACAGAGTCTCGCCGGCCTTCTGCTGCATCGCCTCGCTCTGAGACCTTCGGGGCAAGGGTATATGACGCCGTGAAGCTTGGATTCAGGACAGTTGGTCATTCTGTACCGTGAAAGCTTGGCAACCCTGCAGCACACATGCACGTACACATACACCTACACATACATGCATAATTACGCACAAAGGTGCTCGAACGGACGGGGAACAACAGTCTTCTCCGCACCTGCTTCGACGGCGCCGTGGGCGAGATCAGCGCGTCGAGGCAAAGCGGTGGTGGCCGCAAAGGCCCTCCGTCCAAAGTCTTACGTCGTCAAGCTGAAGAGGCTTAAGAGCCGCGGCAGTTAGGTTGTTGGGATCTAGGTCCCAGGGTTGCTTCATGATCCGTGTCAAGCCAAGCCAGACCGGCCAAGACAAGCATCATGTTCCATACCCGCTTGGCTGTGAATGGGGAACTATGCTCCTGGTGTTCAAACTTAAAGTGCAGTTGTGGCAAATGCTGCGCCCGGCCCGGTGCCTGCACTCATCGGCGATCGGACTTGCTTTGAGCCTGCCTGGGCCGCCTTGCGATCAGAACTGCAAGGGCCGAATCAGATGGCTTTGGCTGGAAGTTGCAGGGGAGCTGCCAAGCTGCGGATGCTCTTACAACTGAGAGCTGCAAGGCTCATCTAGTGGAAAGGATTGTCTGTAGGATAGAGACTAGAACACGGAGATTGAAGCAGCCGTGGGAAAAACAGACGAGCCAACCAGGACTGGAGCCAGCGAAAGCCTTTCGCTGATGCTCGAAGTCCAAGATCCCACCAAGAAGGCGGTCCGATGGTGCCGAAGTCCCGAAGCGCGGAAGCCCGAATGCCCCTCCCCCAATCCTGGAAGCCGCAGGGCGTGAACTTATGTACCTGAGACTCGGGTGCTGGGGCATATTTCCCACTGCTTTAGTATCACCCTAAACCCCAAAGTATACTATACCATAACTATAGTGAGGAAACCTTCAAAATAGTACTGGTGTTTATTTAGGCCCATATCCCTAAACCCTCAACCCTAAACCCTAAACCCTAAACCCCTAAAACCCTAAACCCTAAACTTACTAAACCCTAAACCCTTAAAGCCCTAAACCAGACCATCCTGTTAGTGTTCAGGTCCCCTCTTTTACCGGGAGCCTGGTGCAGAGCTCTCGGGGGCTGCAAGGCGGAGCTCACCAGGCGGCCTGGGAGTCAGCCGGCTAAGTTTCAGGTTTAGGGTTTAGGGTTTAGGGTTTAGGGTTTAGGGTTTAGGGTTTAGGGTTTAGGGTTTAGGTTGGGGTTTCAGGTTTAAGGTTTTGGATTTAGGTTCTAATTTGGGGTTTCAGGTTTAGGATTTATACAAACCCTCTCGCGGGAGGGGTGTTTGCTGACCCGGATCTGCATTCCAATGCCGCCGCTTGGGATTCATGTCCTCCTGGACAAGAAAAAATTGACCAAAGTGTCGGCGAGCGGGGGGCGTGGGAGAAAAAAATTGTGCGCTTTGGGAGACACCGTAGCGACACAAGCCGATGGCAGGGACAGCTGCATTCTCGTGTGGCAGGTCTCCTAGAAGCATCTGCGTAGAAAGCGGATCCTGGCACTGGGTTCTGCGGGGATGACGCGACCGTAGAAGCAGGAGGATCATGTCATGGCTTCCCTCTGAATCCGAAACTGAACGGAAATGGTCTGCACGCCGTCAATGATTCCGGAATACGTGCACATCAAACTTCGCCACAGCCCTGCTGAACACACAGCTAGAAGCGCAGCAAAAGACGACCCTGCAAAGTTCAGAACCCACCAGTGCTTTAGCTTCCACCTGGAGCTCAGGCGATGAAATTCAACCAAAACTTCAACCCTCCTCTGGCTGAAGCGTTCTGAAGGCTCGGGACGAAAGGGCTGTTGAGCGGTGGATGTGTCGCCGAGTTTGTGGTCAATCGAAGCGTGTGACATGTCAGCAGCTGCTGCAGCAGAGATGCTTTGCAAAAGCGGCGCCACTGCAAAGCTTCAAAGAGACGTCCTCTGACACCACATCCCAAAGCCCTCAGCCCTGAACCCGTATAGAACTCCTATACAAGGCCCATACAATCAAACATTTATAGAACTATGTCAAATTACTTATATTGCTGCGCTCAACCCGCTCCCCCTCTTCACAAATCCCCCTCCTCCCCAGACATGGCAAATCTCGGCGTCCGGCGCTCTTGGTTTGCCCGGGGCTCTGAGCCTTGTGCTCCTGTGGGCTCGTAGCTTTGGGCCGTTCGGGGTGCCGGCTCTTACTTAGGGCTTAAGGCTTTAGGGCATGTGACTTCATTAGGTTTGAATTCTTGGGCTTCGGTTTAGGGTTTCGGGCTTTGGGGGTTGAGGGTTTGAGAGCTTGCCCTTTGGCATCCGAGTCAGGGTAGACCTTCGAGTCTTCTGGCTTGGCAATGTGCTTCTATCCGCAGGAGCCAAGGATGATGTAGGGTTTAGGGTTTCGGGTTTAGGGCTGCTGTTACCCTCGCGCATGCAAGTTTAATGCTCTGTCTCTCTCTCTCTCTCTCACTCTGTCTCTCCGCATCTTGTCAAGTCTTTTTGTCCTTCTCAGGTATCTTCCTCTTGTTTTGACCGCCTTACCGCTGGATACCGGTTGAAGGCGACAGAGGGAAAATGAACAAACCAAAAAGAAAGGCGGTAGAAACATGACAAAAGCAAGAAACCGCGGAGAGCACATCCCGTCAGGGAACTCAAAAGCCAATACAGCCACACGAAGGTGTTTGGAAAAGCTTAGACAGAGAAAGAACAGAAGTCAAAAACATTCCGCTGGTCACTAGTCAGCGACAGAGCAGTGTCGGCACAGCACTTGCTGGCCTTCACGTATTCGTTGTGCGGCGTACTCTGTTGAGTTTCAGCTCTTCTTCTTCTCCGGGGTACAGGGAGCAGGTTAGGCTCCCCGCGCCGGATGGCGCGCCCCTGTTTAAGGGCCTTGTGGGGGGCGTCGGTGAAAGACATCGAGTTTCAGCTCTCTCGCTCTCTCTCTCTTTTACTCTTTTTCTCTCTCGCCCTTCCAGAGTCTCCTAGAAGGAAAGTACGCGACATACAACGCAAGACAAGAAGAACAAGTGCAAAATGACAAGCTCCGACATGCTCCGGCCAAAACCGTGACTCGTGGAATCTGCCGTGTTTCTGTCTCCACCTTGCCTGATCCAAGGCCTGCGCCCTGCAAAACTCCTCGCCTAAACCCTAAAGCCTAAGCCCCTGAACCCCAAACCCTACACACCCCAAACCCTACAAACCCTAAACCCTAAACCCTACAAACCCTACAAACCCTAAACCCTAAACCCTAAACCCTAAACCCCAAACCCTACAAACCTCAGCTTCCAGACCTTGCACATCTTCGGGGCTCTTGAGCGGCCGCCGCTCGGCCGCAGCCTGCAGAGCCAACTTGAGGGCTTTCGGTGTTGGGTTAAAAAAGTTTAGGGTTCAGGGTCTTGGGGTTTCAGGTTTAAGGTTTAGGGTTTAGGGTCTTGGGGTTTAAGGTTTAGGGTTTAGGGTTTAGGGTTCAGGGTCTTGGGGTTTAAGGTTTAAGGTTTAGGGTTTAGGGTCTTGGGGTTTAAGGTTTAGGGTTTAGGGTTTAGGATTCAGGGTCTTGGGGTTTAAGGTTTAGGGTTTAGGGTTTAGGGTTTAGGGTTCAGGGTCTTGGGGTTGAAGGTTTAGGGTTTAGGGTTACACTGCGTCCTCGGCGGCTCGGCGGATGCGCTTCTTCAGGAATGGGGGTTTGCCCACTCCGTGCGCTTGCGTCAGCATGTAGTCCCGACCCGAGCCCCAAGCACCCAACTATTCTCAAGTGGGGTCTTGGGACGGCCCTGGAAGTTTGTGAGAAAGCTCTTGAGGCCATGTAAATGGTCAGCAGTTTAGTGGGTTGCGGGTGCCTTCAACAATGAGCATAGGGCTTTGTAAGCTTATGAGGGCTTCGTAGGGGTTTAGATGCCCCAAGATCACACCTGTCTGCGTGCCTTAACGCGGGGTCGTTTTGGACTTGCAGATGCATTATTTAGAAAGACACTGTGATGTGGAGTTGGACTCACCACCTTCAGTGTTTGACAGGCAGATCGTGGCCTGAAAACCCGGGCAGAATCCGAAACTCGTTGGGAGCATGTCTTCAGGATCTGCAGACAGACGCCGTTGCAAATGTAGACTTTCCCTGGTGGTCTAGGCATTCGAACTGATGCTTCTAGCGGGCCCGTCATCTCTAAACACTTAGCTGCCTTAAACCACCAGAAAAAGACTGATCCCCAAGGCTCGGCTTTCGAGGGCAGGAGCTTTAAACCCCTAAACCCCGTGGCACCCCGTAAAATAGCTTTTGCAGGAATCCTTACAATGACCCTTGTAGAACCCACCACAGAAACCCGTAATAATATTCAGTTATAGCAAACCTCACGGCCGCTGAAAGAACTCTAAACACCTACCATCGGGATTTTATTCACTAGAATAGGGCGTCGGGCTATCAGACGGAATACAGGTCTACGGACTATACGGGGGATACGATTACTAGCTTATCCCGACCCATAGCGCCTCAATCCTAGACCCCAGACCCTAAACCCTAAACCCTAGACCCCAAAGCCTAGACCCTGGACCCTAAACTCTAAACCCTAGACCCTAAACCCTAGACCCAGACCCTAGACCCTAAACCCTAGACCCTAAACCCTACAGCCTAGACCCTAAACCCTAAACTGTAAACCCTAGACCCTAAACCCTAAACCCTAAAGCCCCGGTCCAGCCTCTGCGGAGCTGGGAGACGACACAGTCACCTGCCCAGCCCGACAGCAAAAACTCGGTCGAGGGTTTTCGGATCTGGGGGTTTCAAGGGTTTTTAGGGGTTTAGGGTTTAGGGTTTAGGGCTAAGCGTCTCCAT